TGAACATACTACTTCTGACCTTTATGGTACATGTATACGTCATCATTGTATGGATTGTTTAGTAGCAAATATGTTTAAATGTTTCTTTGTCATCTTATGACGCTATAATATAGTCAGTTCTTATCAACAGTACACTATAACAGTTGACATTATATTCAGCCTGCCACCTTCTCCGTACCCGTAATCCGCGCAATTTATAAAATTTTTGAACATGTATACAATATAAAAGTCTTTTCTCGCCTAGAATACCAGTGATCGCTTTCTCAACATATAAAAACGGAATCAATTTGACCAGAACGCGATTTCCGTGACGCGTGAGTATTAGTGACACTATTTCAGAATATTATCATGCTCATTTCGCATGGCAGAGTCATTCTCACAACTTATTGTTTCACAAAATCAATCAAATCTTCCTTCCAGATGAATCACTCGTTTTAGCTATTCCATCCTAGTGTATAGTGCGTTGAGATGTAGCGTGCGAATAGGTGTTGATTTTTATAGTTATTATTTTTAATAACCCAAGATTACTATCTAGCCTTATTCGTGAAAATACCTATCTGCCTCTCATCTACTGTATCCTTATAGTAATTTCCTAGTGTGGAGAATAGATATGATGTCAGTAATTGGCATCTCTAATACCAGTCGCCTCTTCTTCGGAGAGGTTCGCACCGTTAAAGAATTATTTGAAAGCTTTATCTCACCTTGATGCCACCTTGAAGGAAAAGTCGCAGTGGCTTTGATCCCACCGCTGTGCCTTTTTAGCAACACAAAATGAACAACCAACTTCCCACGTTTTCACAACAAAATTGCTTATTTTTACTTAATGTTCTACTGTTGATAACGGTTGATAACTGCGACTTTCTTAGGGCAATTAAACAAATTTCGTAACAGACATGGAGATGCACACACGCACACACATACACAATAGACAAATTTGCTTTATTATAAGTAATGATGATTTTACCGATTAAAACCATTTCGGTTCTTTGAGCAAATTATCTTGTGGGACGAGCTAACTTTACAATGACACAAATAGCCATTACCTCGACTTTTTACGTTCAAACGTCAGTTTTCACAAGCTCACCGTAAGCAGTTTTTCCCACGGTATGAATACAAAGTTTCAAACTCAGGGACGATTGATTACCCCAATTATAACTTTAGAGTTATAGCATGGATTGTCGCACTTAAACGTCCCCCTTGAATATACTATGAATTGCATGGACCCAGATTGCTTCTTAACTTCATTTGGTACATTTATTGGATTATGTAGGTTGCTCATTTCTTTTCCAGAAATCCTCGTTTATCGTCATGAAGAGAGCAAAATAATTTCTAGTTGGCAAATTGTATTATTTCGTTTCCCTCGTTCCAACAACAATTGTATTATGAAAAGACAAAGTAGCTGTTTTCCTTAAATCAAAGCTAGTCGTTAATACTTGCGCTTGTGTTTTGGTCATTACTCTACGAGCCGTCGTAAGCACAATTTTCTCCATCAGTGGAGCATGGGGACGACAAGAGAATACGAATTTGCAAGTGAATAGATTTGTCTAATCTTAGCTACTTCAAGCGTAAACCTTAGACCATTTACGCATAATGTTGTGGGGGAACTTTCAATTCTACTAACATAGCTGATCGAACAAGCCAGGTGATCAGTTTATTCTTCTTGTTTTACTACCCTTTCATAGTCAGGTGGTGGTTGAGCTGTTGATAGAGGAGGAAAGGTTTGCTGTGAAGTCGCAGGCTGATCGAAGTACGGCTGTGAAGGGGGTAATGAAGGTGCAGTTGCGATGTTATACGGCTGTTGACTTTGGATGTACGGTTGTGCAGATGGATATACAGAAGCAGAGTAGACAGTAGGTGCTGCGTAAGCAACAGGAGAAGCAGGAGTAGCGTAGACCACTTGTTGGGGATTGGCTCGCACAACGAATGTTCGCTGCGGATGGTAGTGGCGCTCTTGTTGAGCTACCCTGAACGTAAATACCCATAAATCCTTAACGCAGTATATGGGTATGAGCAAATTTCGAAAATGGTAAGGATGATGTTAGATCAATGTGGCTTTACGCAAAAGTGGACTATTATCCTATTTAAACGTTAACTTCCAAATTAAGGGTATCCAAGAA